ATCACGTGGTTGCAACCCAGCAATAGGTCGTTTTGGCAATTCTGCTCCTTTGGCTGCTCAAGGGTTAACACTTATTATGTTTATGATCATTTTATGAAGCAAAAACTACAGTTAATTCATTTAGCGTATATAGCGTCGCAGGAATTCACTTTTGCCCCGGGCGCTGATCAGACCGTGCAGCACTTCATCCGACATTCCTTATCGCGCTCCCGTCACATTAGCTCCAGTTTGAACCTAGCAGCAGCCTAATTAATGACCCCACATTGCGGTCACTTAATACCCAAACGCAGACGACTGAGGTGGACCCTGGTAATACGCAAGCAATGACCCCAATCTCCAACCAAATGGAAAAAATTAATTGATTTCTGCATTATCTGATCGAGAGGCACTTTATTCATCATTATAGTGTCCGTATGGATTATTATGTGCGCCGACGTACAGACGAACATATATTTGTTTGTGCAATTTAACCGTGCAGAACCCAGACATGAAAATATGTGTTGAAAAAATATGTCTGCTATTTTTGGGACGCAACATTCAATGACCAAATTTGGCAATGTAGCATATTAGCTTCTTTGGGTTCATGGGTAGATACAGTAGTTTATGCATTCAACCAAAAAGTCAGGCTTCTTTTGCAAAAACTGTTGAACTTTATGTCACATTTTTGTAACCGAGGGTGCTACGGGGTTAAAGAAGAAATATTTGGTATTATTGTTGGCCATTACTAAGGATAAAGAGATGATTTACTTTTTTATTGTTTTGTTATAAATTATATCTTCAGTAGGACATCTATGGTGATACAAGTATGACGAGGAAACTATGCTATCGACCTGCCTTATCCCTATGCTACCACCAGAGGGAGGTGTAGAAATGTTTTAGATTTTTTCAAACTTTGAAATTACCGTCTGCAACCCCGGCTCTGTGATTTTAAAGGACAACATTTCATTTTTTCATTTCAAGAAAAGGCCAAAAGTATTGTATGGGTTAGACTTTTGTTTTAAGACTAGTGATGCAGAGTGTGTAAAAGCATGCTACATTAATACATTTCATTATTCATGCTCTGGCTCATTCCCATAAACCTTTCCCAGTTCATTTCCCGAGCAAAGTCTCTGCACTGGATTCATGTCAGTCCCATTCAAGTCACTTTTCTCATGACCTGGATTTTTCCTGATGCCGTGACCTCGAGGCCAGATAAACAAACGCCTTGCCATTTTTATCAAAGTTTAGCTCAATATATCCCGAGCACAAAACCTAACAATTATTCTATTAATTCTAAGATGTAAAAAGTATAACCAACATCTCGAGAGCCCACCACATAAAAATATAATAAAACGCATAATGCAGAATTTAACATTGGTGACTGGGTAACGTTCAGACCCCAGTGTATTTTTCATAATGCATTACATGTTGCCATTACATAATTATTAACCTAACAAATATAATACTGTTGTTCGTCCGACAGTGTGGTTGGAACAATATTTAAAAAACAGACCACAACATTCTGTCTTAATCTTTTTAGAATTTTTTTTACCCATTGTAAGAAAGAGCCTTGAGAGTTTTTAGTTGATGTTTTGAGCTGAGAGCTGATTGGCTGGAGGACTTTTTGACTATTCCGAATGAAAAAAGTTTATCCAAAGATATGGCAGAGTGAAAACAAGTGATATAAGCAAACTGTTTTACATGAATTTTATTATAGTTAAAGAGTTAAATTGTTGTAGTTTGAAAGTTACTTAATCCTAATCTTTAGTCTCCTTTAATATAATTCACAACAACGTATTTTACTTCTTTTGTCATTGTATTTGTCAAACAATTGTAAGGCTTGTTCAAAATGAATGTACCAAATGTCTTTGTGTGGGAGGACAAAATGTTTGACTGCAGAACAATGCTGCACAATTGTTTAAAAGTAAAAGTAAAAGTTTAAAACTTTGGAAGAAGAGGCGTGTTTTAGGTCTGTGTCTGGCAATTACATTCCAACAAATGGTTGCATTATTGCAGTGAAAATGAAAACATATTAGGAGCAAGTGGAGAGTTCTCTAAGCTCATTATCCAGAGCGTCGCATTCAGGGAACAACTGAATGAATGCTGCGCTTATAACGGCCAATGATAATGCAATTTATTTTCACATATAGAATCTAGAGGAGCACGGGTTGACCTGAATTTTTACTGGAGTCAAATTTATTTTGGTACAATAGTCAAAGAAGTTTTATAGGGAAAAAAAAAATTAAGTAATTATGCGAATAAAGCTTGTTTTGTATTATTTTTTTTACCTATTATTATATACAACAAAATAAAGATAACAGAAATTAAATCTCATTAGCATCCAACATAAATCCTTAAACAGGGTTAGGGTTAGGTTCAAGGAATTTATCTAAAAAAATCTGTACTTAAAAATAAAATGCTTTAATTGGTCTATGTACTTGACCCACATAGCTTCCTTACTTTCTTTAGAAGCTGATTAGAGCAAAGTAGAATAACCTAGCCAAAGTATGTAGGTAGCAACTATCAAGCAACCAAACAGCCAATCAGAAGCAGCCTTGGTTCGCCAGCCGCGGCCGTGTTAAGGAACTAAAGGCATGTGATTGGTCGGTTAGGGCTCATGTCTGGATTTAAAAAAAGACCAAATCAAAATCAAAACACCAGGATCATACAGTGCGGCAAACCACTGATGTATTAGCCCAAAATGGTGAGAGTGACACAAATGATTACAGAGCTCAAGGATTACAATTGGAGCCATAGTGAGTTTGAGATCAATTTTGCTCTTTAAACACTTTCCTAGGCTTTTTTGAGCTATAGGAATTTAGCATTGTCCATCAACATCCTATTAGAAAGCCAGTAAGATAAGCAGACTGGTCCAGGGGTATGAATATATGATATAGACAGCATGCAAAGTGATGTATGCCAAGCCATTTTTTGCTATAATTTTCCAGTTCATCTTCTGAAGTTTCTAAATATGTTTTATTTTTTGTTTTGTTTTTTACCACCTGTGAGCCAACTACCAACAGGATAACGAATAATTGCATTCAAAATCTCATTGTGTGTTGGGTCGCATGCATTATTTTTACAGACAAGAATTGACTTTACCGTATTCAAATTTACCAAGTTTCACCTGTATACAATCTGTGTTTTAAGGTCTGTTATGAGTCCGAGTTCCTGATGTCTGTAGAAGTTCCAGAAGCTGCGATTTCGGTGTCGGCTCAGTCTTCCATAGGGTTTTGTGCTTTGTTCTTCCGGGAGAGAATTTATCGTGTTATGTCTTCTTTGAAATGTATATCGTGTGTTCCATTCTGCAGTCTTATTTTGCATTCATTTAGGTGAAGATATAACTCAAATCGTCTCTAACCCAAAAAGCCAGTGGGAAGGCTGCTTGTTGTCGGTATTTCACACTGAGCATAGACTTTAAAAAGAAAATGAAGAGTGTGGAGCAGTTAATCCGAGTGTTTATGAGCTGTCAGCTGTCAGAAAGTCCTCCCAGTGGTACCGGTGTGTGGAGAAGTGTCCCGCGCTCCACAGTCCAAGTGACAAAAACACAAAAGATTTCTCAAACTGTCAGGACTCCACTGCTACTTCTGCTGCTGCTGTTGCTGCTCTGTCTGGCCCTGTTTGGGATGATTGAGCGAAATATGAGCACTTTCTATGCACTAAACCACATCCACTCCACACTGCATACATCAGACTAGATCCAAGCAAAAGCAAATATCAACTTTGTATTCAAATATCTTCAAAACGGAATGTCTGCTCCTGTTAGATTCAGGATTTTCATCTCAATTTGATGAGATTTTATATTGTTTATAAAATTTCACAAAGCGTAATTAGGAGTAAAGGCGCGTTCAGACCAAAAGCTTCAAAAAGCTTTTGACGCGCTTCACCATTCACTTTCAATGGAAACCTGACGCTTTTGACGCCGAAGTTAAGTCCGGTGTGAACGCCCCTTAATCAGCAATGGAAGCCTCTCAGATAAGGCCACCACAGAGTAGTTGGGAACGAGCCTGAACAGTCAGACCCACACGATTAACAATACATGAGAGTCTGGATCTCTGCTCTGATTTGCCCTTTTCACAGGCTGTATTTGATTGGACGGAAAACAGGAGGTGGGTGCAGAGATATTTGTGTGTACAAGTGTGCACATACATGTTTTTTTCACAGTGATTAGTGTGAGTTACTTCAGTAATCGGTATTTATCAAAACATGTGACAGCCGCCATCTTGGATTTTGCACAAAGCATTTGAGGAGCCACAAGTACAAGTACAAGAGGAAGGCTCTTGTACTTCAAAAGTGACCTTTGATGAGATGCAGCTTTAGGTTTGGTCAAGTGACATTTGACACAGATTAAAGATCCTTATGCCACGAAGGTCAGTAAAATGAGAGGGAAGGACAAGGAATATTAATGCATAATAATAATGCAAGGCAAGTTTCATGTTCTCAGTGCTGCTTTCTGAGATTGGTCGGCAGAGCAGCTGGTCTCAGAAAACAGAGGGTCCTGCTGGTCAGGCTACATTAATGTCACGTCCTTTGCTAAACTATAGATTGACAATTAACTGCCCCCTGTTTGAAATTGCCAGTACATGTATATATATGTGCAATGGAAGAATTAATAAAATCCCGCAGGAGGATCAGCGAGGGACTGGTGCATTGTGAATTGGGTGGCAGCTCTGATTGCCGCACCTCTGACCCAGAAATGGATAATAAAGGGATGAAAATGAATGAATGAATTAATGAATTAATATCAAGAAGCCCATGTTTTCTCCCTCACCAGGTTAACACGGCGTTGCAACTACTATTACTTTCAATTTCCTGTTTTTAAAATGAGACACAGTGCTTTTGTATTTGCTGTTGCTGAGCCGGAGATGAAGATACTTTGGTGCCGCTGTTACATGTTTTTTTTAGCTGCAACAATGAATTGCAGATTGTTACAAACAGTTTGCTTTATAATAGAACGATTGGAATGTTTTGAGGATGGCATTTGCAAACTTCATTGTTCTGCTTTGTACTTTCAGTTTAGCATGTCGTGTGGAAAAGGTTTGTCACTTTTAGGACCAAAACAAATGAAAGGGAAAGGATGTATTAGATGCAGAGCAAATCCGAATGTTTGTTAGATATACCCAAAAATCCAATACTATTTAATCTCAGTTATCTCAACTGTTGAATTCGCCAACACAGATCAGAGAATCAAAAGAAAGCCTGTGGTCCTTAACCCTTTAAGGACACCAAAAATGCCAAGCATTTTGAAACCAAACTCCAGATTAAGTAAGTATGTAATTACTAGTAAGTTATCTATATGTATAGTGCCTTTCACAGACCAGAGTCACAAAACGCTTTACAATAGGAACCCTACATAGACACAGGGAGAACATGCAAACTCAAAACAGAAAGGCCTGGAGATGAGATTGAACCCAGGACCTTCTTTCAATGAGGCACAAGCACTTACCACTGCGCCACCATGCTGCTCTACAATATATTATAAAAAATGACACAGTATCTAAATGAAGTTTGTTACTGAAAAAGTCACAAAGTTATAAAGAATGTAAAAAAAAAATCCATGCACTCAGTATTCAGACTTCCAAAACTAAAAGCCATCAATTTGACTGCTCTAGAAGTTTGGGTGTTAATGTCGCAATGGTCTCTGAATCACTCCGCTTTGTCCTGGGGTAAAAATGTGAAAAGTTTCCCATCACAGATAAGCAAAAGGCAGCAGCAGCAATCTCTCGGGACGTCCCGCAGATCAGAACGCTGTGGTAAATCTATTGAAACTCCGCGTCTGTCTGAGCGGGTTTGACGAGGGCTGTGTGGAAATGTCAGCGTCTGTGAAATGGTGCTAATAAAACTGCTTTGTGTTTTCCAGCGCTGAAAAAGGGAAGGTTCTGGATCACGCCAGACCCCTACCACAACGACGACAACATCCAGATCGGACGAGAAGTGAAGATTTCCTGTCAGGTGCGGTTCTGGAAACACTAATAATGCTAAAAAATCTTGGAAAAGTGAAAAGCGGTGATTGTGGTTCGTTCAGGATGGTCTAGTCTAGAGCATGGGTCTGTCTTTATCCTTCCATTTACAATCCTTAGACAATCGTTTTATGATTGAAGTTTAAATTGCTTTAATTGCATATTTCAAACAACTTCAAGAGTGTTTCATTTGACACAATACATGAAGTGATTGGCTGAAGATTGCTTTACCATTTCTTTATTTGGGGATAACAAGGACGGCATGGTGGTGCAGTGGTTAGCGTTTGTGCTTCACAGGAGTAAGGTTTGATTGGGTTTGATTCCAACTCCATGGGATCAAGCTGTGTTTGCATGTAGGTTTCCTCTGGGTGCTCCGGTTTCCCCTAACAAATGTAAAATTGTTCAGGGTGAATGTCTTTGGACTGCGACTGTGGGACAACAGATGGAAATTACCACATGGTTTCAATCTCTTCAATCCAAATAAAAATATAATAAAATACGTCAGTTTAAATCTTTTCATACGTATATGTGCAGTGAACATGTTCACTGCACATATACAACATATGCAGTGAACATGTTCACTGCATATGTTCATGTTCAAAGAATGTTCTTTGTTAAACAGAGGAGCCGATAGTTTTGGCCTCTGATTACTAATTGAGTTGAATTATAAGTGGGAAGAATCTCCGAACAGAACAAGACCAAACTGAAGACCAAATGCCGCACATGTTTTGTTAATAAACTCTGCTCAAGCTGCGGTCTGGGGATTGGCTCAAACAGACTGTAGAATGAACACTTTTCACCCTTTCGCAGCTGAGGATCATTTACCCAAAAATCAGATTTAGGGACCTGCCATAACATTCAACGAACGACTGAAGAAAAACGTCTTCAGAATGAACATATTCATTTGTTTTACTATTTCTTTGACTATATTCTATTCATGAGTTCAATTTGGACCTGGTTCATCCCAGTATGGTTGTTTTGATATGAGAAGGATAGAAATTTCTCTCAATCATCCACATAGAGAGATAGATAGATACTTTATTGATCCCTGTAGGAGAAATTCAGGTGTCCAGTAGCAGAAAAAAAAAAAAACAAAAAAAATTGATCATTCTAATTGGATAGAAATAGTAATAATCAGCAAAAGCCCTTCAGGTCACAGCAGCAGAGATGGAGTAGCCGCTGGGTGGAGGAGGACGGGTAAAAAGGTGGAGTACCCGCTTGGTTCGGACCATTTTCTCTGCTCCAAAGTACAATGCTAAATGCTTTATTAGAATTTTTCAAAAAAGTTTGCATGGTTTGGACCATGAAACCTCTCTGCTCCAGTCTGGACCAGTGCAAAACTATGCACAATGTACTGCAGCAACATCTCAGGTAGAAAAATAAAAACTGTTTCAGAGCTACTTGAGATTTGCTGCCGTTTTCCAGCGCATTCAAAAGTAAACATGTCCAAGAAGTTGATAGTAGTAGTAGTGGGTGGCACGGTGGCTGAGTGGATAGCACTCTCGCCTCTCAGCAAGAAGGTCCTGGGTTCGAATCCCGGTCGGACCAGGGCCTTTCTGAGTGGAGTTTGCATGTTCTCCCCGTGTCTGCGTACGTTTCCTCCGGGTACTCCGGTTTCCCCTACCACTAAAAATATGTCCAATAGTTCAGGCATATGCCTCCTGTACTGGCCCCGCTCCCATCTCTGTGTGGAGTGAGAGACAAATGCCCAAAAATTAACAATTGTAAACCGCTTTGAGACTCAGATCTGCAGTGAAAAGGCGGTATATAAATAAAAACTTACTTACTTACTTACTTACTAGTAGTAGTGTGTTTATTTCAAATTACATGCGCAATACAAAAAACAAAACAAAAGAAGAAACATATAAACATATATATGCACAATTCGAAAAGGAGTAGGATAGTTATATTGTATCCTATGGCTCGCAATAGTTATTTTATTTTTCATTTTTTTATCCAGTTGTTCTAAGCTTGTACATTGAAACATTACATGCCTCGTACTATTACCTTCCTCCTGATCCCCACACTCTCCCCCCCACGCAGGTCGAGGCCACCCCACCGGAAGAGCTCACGTTCAGCTGGCTGAAGAACGGTCGAGCCCTGCGGAGCTCGGAGCGAATGGTCATCACCCAGACGGACCCCGACATCTCCCCGGGGACCACCAACCTGGACATCATCGACCTGAAGTTCACAGACTTCGGCACCTACACGTGCGTGGCGGCCCTGAGGGGAGGAGGCATCCCCGAGATCAGCATCGACGTCAACATCTCCTCCACCACTGGTGAGTCTGCGCTCCTCCACCCACCCCCACCCCCCGACCGCCGTGCACCGCCCACGCCTGCAGATACTAATACGGCCTGTTCCATCCAGCATTCGGACATGATTGACTTTAGAGTACGGAACGACCCTTTTTTTTGAGATTCCGATTTATTTACATTTGGTGTGGGTTCTGATTGATATTTTTCATACCAGACAGAGGTTTTAAGCTTTTACATTATTATATGACATGTTTTAATTGGCTGGATGACAGTGTTTATGATCCCAGTATGAACGAGTGCTATACATGCATGGATTGTTGGGGGTGAAGTTTTACAGCATGAGTTAGTAACTTTGTGACTTATCATCAAATATAAATTGAAATTATGGAATTATAATCGGTAAAAGCTCAGCCAAGTATCGAAAATCTGGGTTTTTAATCAGCGAACCAACAAACAGACTGGTCGTTCCTTACTCTAGAGGTCAGTTACTAATGTGTTCTCAGCGGGGAGCTTGTAAAAATGGAATGTCTGAGTCTTGATCGGGATGGAAATGTTAAGTGCCTGCCGACCTCATGGTTCAAAGTAAAATTCTCTTCATGTTTTGCATTGCTGTGAAAAAATCAAAAATCAAATGTAAGCTCTGTGGACGGACTCTGTGGACTTTTTAACAATTTGTAGTGAGAAAGAACAAAGTGGATTTGTGGTTAGCTATAGAATATTAGTTAGCTAAAGGATATCGGTTCGCTAAAGGATATTGGTTAGCTAAAGGATATTGGTTAGCTAAAGGATATTGGTTAGCTAAAGGATATTGGTTAGCTAAAGGATATTGGTTAGCTAAAGGATATTGGTTAGCTAAAGGATATTGGTTAGCTAAAGGATATCGGTTAGCTAAAGGATATCGGTTCGCTAAAGGATATCGGTTAGCTAAAGGATATTAATTAGCTAAAGGATATTAATTAGCTAAAGGATATTGGTTAGCTAAAGGATATTGGTTAGCTAAAGGATATTGGTTAGCTAAAGGATATTGGTTAGCTAAAGGATATCGGTTAGCTAAAGGATATCGGTTCGCTAAAGGATATCGGTTAGCTAAAGGATATTAATTAGCTAAAGGATATTAATTAGCTAAAGGATATCGGTTAGCTAAAGGATATCGGTTAGCTAAAGGATATTGGTTAGCTAAAGAATATCGGTTAGCTAAAGGATATTAGTTAGCTAAAGGATATCGGTTAGCTAAAGGATATCGGTTAGCTAAAGGATATTGGTTAGCTAAAGAATATCGGTTAGCTAAAGGATATTAGTTAGCTAAAGGATATTGGTTAGCTAAAGGATATTAGTTAGCTAAAGGATATTGGTTAGCTAAAGGATATTGGTTAGCTAAAGGATATTGGTTAGCTAAAGGATATCGGTTAGCTAAAGGATATCGGTTCGCTAAAGGATATCGGTTAGCTAAAGGATATTAATTAGCTAAAGGATATTAATTAGCTAAAGGATATTGGTTAGCTAAAGGATATTGGTTAGCTAAAGGATATTGGTTAGCTAAAGGATATTGGTTAGCTAAAGGATATTGGTTAGCTAAAGGATATCGGTTAGCTAAAGGATATCGGTTCGCTAAAGGATATCGGTTAGCTAAAGGATATTAATTAGCTAAAGGATATTAATTAGCTAAAGGATATCGGTTAGCTAAAGGATATCGGTTAGCTAAAGGATATTGGTTAGCTAAAGAATATCGGTTAGCTAAAGGATATTAGTTAGCTAAAGGATATTGGTTAGCTAAAGGATATTGGTTAGCTAAAGGACATTGGTTAGCTAAAGGACATTGGTTAGCTATGGGATATTGGTTAGATATAGGATAATGGTTAGCTATTGGATAATGGTTAGCTATAGGATAATGGTTAGCTATTGGATATTGGTTAGCTAAAGGATAATGGTTAGCTATAGGATAATGGTTAGCTATAGGATAATGGTTAGCTATTGGATATTGGTTAGCTAAAGGATATTGGTTGACTACAGACCTTTTTTTTTCTCTTTTACAGAATTTCTCATTTTTGCAGTGTACATATCAGTTCTTGTGGAAGTGCCTGGAGTTATTTCTGATCAGATAATGAGATCTCGTGGTTAGCCTCGTCGATACATCCCATCCCCTCTCACCACTGCGCAACGATTTCTAATTTATCCCATGGCCATTACAGCATGTGTTTTGGGAAGTATGTTGAGAGGGAATTGATTGGACAAACATAGATGCCGTGGCTTGAATGTCACATTATTTTACTCTGAGGTATTTAATTTGTCCCCTGGTCGAAAAGTTTAATTGATTTGTAACATAGTGTTGGACTTGCAGCGATTTCCTGCTGCAGTCTCAGTTTAAGATGGACAATAGGAAGCAATAAACTAAGTAAATGAATTGTCAAAAAAATAGCTAAAGGTACTGGTTTGTGATTGGTCAATGTGAGATACTTAAGTTCAAACTATAAGGGTATGAATAATGGAAAAAGAAATGCGCGAATATGATGTTAAAAACATTTCATTGGTAAAAGTGGGATTCTGCTTTTATAACTTGGCATCTAACATGTTTTGATATAATTATGGCCCTTGTGGTGATCCTGGATACAACTCCTAGACAGTGTCGGGGTTTTGAGTGGAGTTTGCATGTTCTCTACATGTCTGTGTAGAATATTCTTGCCGCCACGGATTAAGTAGCTGTTCAGTTATACACTCCCATCTAGATGCCTTGGTTCAGGCTGGGGTACTTCAAATATCTAAATAGATTGTTCTCTGTTGTTGTCATACCAAGATCAGTGGCATTTTTTTTTTTTTTTGCTCAAGTCAACATAATTACAGTATTTCATCTTTAAGCAGTTATAATGATTTTAAGTCCTGGTTGATTCTTGATTGTTGAATGAAAATTCACAAAAATGGCGCCATGGCAAGAGCTCTGGTGTGTACTATCCTGTCCTCGAGTAGTCTTGCAGTTTTTCCGATGTGGTTTTTACTGTAAATGGCAAATACATTCTTGAACCTTGAAATGCCCACACTACACACAGACCAAAGATGAAAAGTAATTGTAAATGTAAATTTACAAGTTTAACATGGTTTAACATTTTCTGTATTTAATAGTATGCAGTTAATACCTATATATTTTACAACAATTTCTTACAGTGAATTTTTCATGGTGGGTATTTGCAAATAGTAATTTTCAAATTTGGGTCAAACTTAACAAAGTAAACCCCTCTCTCTGATATTAGCATAGGGACAGTGCAGGCGGATAGCTTTTTTACCCTTCATACTTGTTTCACTATATATTTTCATATTCTAAAACATGAAATGAGAAAGTAAATAGTCTATTTCCAAAAAAATGCATAACATTTCTGCTTTTAAATGGAGTTTTGGAGACTTTGGTTTTCCCTGTGGTCAGCTCTTGTCTCCACTCAGCACTTCTCCAACACTTTCACAGCAAACTATTCAAAAGAACTTCACACGTTTTCCGCACTTCCAATCCTCAAATATCTACAGAAGACATCGCGCTTGGCTTGGATTCGTCTGCGCTGCGTGTTTGCTGCTGATAAGTGACTTAAAACTGCGCCACTGATGTCTTTCACACCCCTAAAGTTGATATGGCACAGACTCGCCTTGTGTCTGTACCGAAGCGCCTCGTCATCTCGGGGCCTGTAATTACGCACAGATAATCCTTTGATAATCCGCACAGTGTGAAGCAGGAGGATCAATCGCACCTGCCAACTGCGTGCTGTCATAAAGTCGTAATAAAGTCGTATTTTGTCTTGTGCCCACATGATAAAGGCTGGTCTAGTATAGGTAAAAATGCTGTGATGTATAGTTCCCTTTTTAAAGCTAGTTCCTTGTTTGGCTTTATCACTAGTTTTCACATGCATATGTTTTTGGCCTCTGTCACATCTTGAGATCAGACAGAAAAGCTCTCAGCTCATATGGTGACTCTCAGGGATCATTCTTTCAAGTATGCAAAATATAACAGGTTTTCTAATGAGATAAAGTAACTGAGTAATCTTTATGCATTTAGCGCTTTGAAACAGACCAGAGTCATTTGTCTCTCACTCCACACCGAGATGCCGTACAGGAGGCGCATGTCGGACTTATTGTACATGTTTTTAGTGGTAGGGGAAACAGGAGCACCAGGAGGAAACCTACACAGACGAGGGGGGGAAAATTCAAACTCCACACGGAAAGGCCCGGAGGTGGAATCAAACTCAGAACCTTCTTGATGCTCAAACCACTGCGCCACTGGCAAGTTGCAGTCTGATTTGTTTTCAACATTTTACTTGTAACCACCAAATTCATTTCATGATGTATCCCAGGTTTCATTTATTTGCACATTTGCTTAGTTCTCCCACTGTTTCTTCAAAGACATGAAGAAACATCTCAAATCTGCCATTCATGGGAAAAATTCTTGAAAAAGTTGCCTACCAACAACTTACTGAATTTTTAATATCTAATGACTCATTTGACATGTTTCAGTCTGGCTTTAGACCACACCACAGTACTGAGACCGCTCTAGTCAAGGTAACAAATGATATTCGGCTTAACACTGATGCAGGAAAAGTCTCTGTTTTAGTCATGTTAGATCTGAGTGCCGCTTTCGACACCGTTGACCATGAGATTCTCATGCAGAGACTGGAGGACTGGGTTGGTGTTGCTGGTACCGCCCTAAGCTGGTTTAGGTCCTATCTAGAAGAAAGGAAGTATTGTGTGGAGATTGGAGACTATGTCTCAGATAATATGGCCCTGACCTGCGGAGTGCCACAGGGGTCGATTCTGGGACCTCTTCTGTTCAATATTTACATGCTGCCATTAGGTCAGTTAATTCAAAGTATGAAAGTGTCCTACCACAATTACGCTGATGACACTCAGATCTATGTCTCACTGACTGCAGGAGAACATGGACCAGTGGACTCACTCCTTCACTGTATCCAGCGGATCAGTGAGTGGATGCAATGCAATTTTCTCCAGCTAAATGCGGACAAAACCGAAATGATTGTCTTTGGTCCCGAGAAACAAAGAGAGACCGTCATTTGTCACCTTCAGTCTCTCTCCCTAAGGCCTTTAAATAAGGTCAGAAATCTGGGAGTAATAATGGACTCTGACTTAAACTTCAATAGCCACATTGGATCGGTAACATCAGCAGCTTTT